GATTTGAACATCGGTAAATAAACTCATCATAGATACCAGGATTAAAATTTGTACGCAAGACGCGCGTTTCGTTTACATTAGACTCATCAGTGATGCTCTAATAAATAAGTTTTAAAGGCCAAATAAAGTCCGAAGTTGAAGATCATTGAGGACCCAAAATTCCGAAACATTTTGCCCAAAAAAAACTAAGGTAATCTATTTCTGGGCTAGAAATTCTTAATATTTCGAAAAATTCTAAGTGGTGTTAACCGTTAATTTAGGATAATGATAATATCCGTGATAATTCATGTCAACACAGAGGTACTGACTACTGGGCTGGTGCTACCCTCGGGGAGAAAACCTCCACCAGCAGTGGCATTGACCCAGTGGTTGTAAATAAACTCACCATAGATACCATAAACTATTGTCGCCTTAATTTGTACGCTCCGGTATACAGTTTTCTTTATGAACTGTCTTGGTTTATCTCCCTTTGGTATGCAAATTACACTACCATGTCTTTCAGTTATTGACAATTCTCCCTTTTTATAACCATTTAGTAAAGATCAACAAATTCACCTATATCTTTCCAGATGAATTTACAAGAGTCGTTTGTAAAACCATCTGACCCAGTGCTTTTGTCATTTTTCTTACTTAGCGAATCTGTTGTTAATTACTATAAGTAATCGCACCCTCCAACGATTCTTTTTTAGCAATATTGATCTTTTAATATCTATATTGGGAATTTCACTATTAAGATTAAAATTATTCAGACTATCTGATATTGTACTTAGCCTCTTCTAATGTTTTTCCTATTTACTGATAGTGTCCCCTTTTTCATTGACTAATTTTTGAAGTGTTTTATTTATGGAGTGTTTAGTTTCTAAATTTAGAAAAAAGTTTGAAGGTTTTTACCTTTTGAGTTCGGTATTTTTGATAATGCTTTTTTCTTCTTTTCTTTGAATTTTAGATCTGATGTAATATACTCTAACTATTTCTTGCCTTAATATTTTGAGATCTGATTTTTTTTTAACCTCAGTTAAAATTTTCTTCTGTTATAATTTTTTATGACTTCCGACAATATGTGTGCCTGTTTATTTTTACTCAGCTTACTACATTCTTTTTTTTTTAATGTTATTCCGTGTATTAAATGTATATTTGTTACAGTGAATTTGTATAATCAGGGATAATGTAGAATCCCTGATTTTTCAGGGATTTTGCATAATCACTAAAATCATTAGCGATTATATATAATCCTGAAAATGACCAGTGATTTTACATAATCACTGAAAATTTTAAGAATTATTTAACAAATTTTCTAGAATGTTTTTAGGGATTATCATTAATACAAAAATTCTCTGTTCGGTAAAAATAATCAAATACAGATAAATAAATCATATGTAAAACCTCTTTATGGTTAAAGCTGGGGTCACACATTCACGATTTTTACTGTCGTCCTTGATAGGAACATTCCCGATTGAAATTTGTCAAAAGTCTGATCAAGATCCTGTGAATCGTGGCTGGAAATTCAAACTTTAATTGAAATTTGTAAAAACATTTATCTAATCACGACAACAATAAGATATTGTTGTGGAAGCGTCCAAATTCAGCCGTTTCCAGAGGAATTTGTCCCGATTATCCCGTTCTTAATCCGATTCTAATCCGATTTGTATCTTTCGCATGGTAAAAAAAACGAGCGAATCTGTCCGACAGCGTCCCAATTCTGCCGAATGCGAGCCGACAGAAATCAGACATTGACCAGACAGTGAACCGACGCTGACGGAAGATATCCGTTAGAAAACCGTTTCACGTGATAGTCCCGTTCTATAAAAAAATCGCCATATTCGGGATATTCAGGTACTGTCGGAACGCAATTCTATCACAGTCTGCTGTACCGCATTGCAAACGGCTTTGTCTGGACTCAGTCGTATCGTGTTCTGTAATTGCCGGTACTCTGACATGGGTATTAATGCCGAATTTCGTATTAATAACGGGACTGTTCCGGAACAAAGACTGTTCGCATTCGGCAAGATCTGGATGCAATCTGGACTCAAGCGGCAAAAAAAAACAGCAATGGCAAATTTCTACAGATCATGCACGTTCCACAGGGCACCGTCCAGAAAACACAGAACATTGTTACGATTTCGATCCGATACAGCAGAATCTGTCACCACATAGTCACGATTACAATCCAGCTAGAAAAACTAGATGAATGTTACGGGACGCACCTAACTGTCGGGGGTGCTTGGCCGACCTCTCCGGACCATTCCAGATTCGTAGGAATCTGTTACGAACGTATACGACTGCGTTCAGACAATGATAGGACATTCAAGATCATTGGGGATAGTAATCCGACTTTTTCACTTTTCGTGTCTTAGCGCTGTCTGATCACAAACGGGAGCCATAATCGGCACTGTGTGAACGCCACATTAAGTGGACAGGTTTATCAAATCTTATTAAAGTGAACAGTTTTTCTGGTGATATTCTATTTAACTGTGTTAAACCACATTAACTCATAAACAAAAAAGTATCTTGAATTGAAATCAATATTCACAATTAATTATAAATGCACAGATCATGTAATTTGCTGTAAAACAAAGGGGATGAAAGTAAACGAACAAGGAATTCAAACTAAGCAAAAAATGCAATTAAACGTTCAGAAACACAAACAGAACACATGATTGACAGATTGAACACAGTTTTAGAGGAGGCTGTGATACCGATTCCGCATGTTGATCATGTAAAGGGAAACCCAAAAAAACATAATGGCAATCGTTCATAAAAGGGCTGAAAGGATAATGCCTGACTACGAAACATGAAATTATGCCCAGAAAATACACAGGAAATCAATTTGAGGTGTTTGATTGACCTTTTTAGCACCTTCAGATGTTTCGAATGAACACTTTATTTCTCTTCAAAGTGCAGTAAAATCAGATTCAATATGTGAAGACTAAGGATTATTTGGGGTTTTTTCTTTTGTTGCAGAAAAAGGATGCAGAGCAAATGTTTAACAGTAAAGGGTCTGGATGTGGTTTACAGAATAGAGAATAATTGACAAACAGTGCAAAAAAAGGGCCAATCAATAAAGAATAGACAAAAATAGACAAAAAGTAAGAATAGAGAATAACAGTGTGCTAAAATATACAGAATAGAGAATAATGGGCAAAATAAATAAAGCATATAGAAAAATGATCTTCAAAATTCAAGAATAAAGAAATAAGGGACCCTCCATAAAATAAATGATTTGTATTAGAATATTGTGCTTAAGATTTTAATATTTATGTTTCTAAAGATGCTTGAATATGATTTTATAAAATAACTTATTTTACTTTTATTCATTGTCTCTTCATTTTAGTTATTATGTATAATCCCTGAAATTTATTCTTGTGATTATGCATAATTCCTGAAAATTTAAGTAATTATATATAATCACTAAAGTTACCAATGATTATACATAATCCTTGAAAATTTCAGGGATTATATATTATCCTTAATTCTACAAATTCACTATAACATATTAATACATACAGAACTTGATGTCTGATTAGAGGCTCAGAGTCATTTTCTTGTCCCAGAAATTATTGAAACAGTTAAGTTCTTCAAGCCTTTAATAATTCTGTTCATTTTATTGATAAATGAATTTAATGCTTCAATCTAGACACTTTAATGCAGACATGTCAGTTATGATGTCGCTATGATGTCATGAAAAATAGTAATATGTTATCTAAAACTGCCATTTAACTGACGATTTTCGTCAAATTAAATACGCTCGTATTTAATTTGACGAAAATCATAAGTCAACGTTGATAAAACGAGACATCGGCAATAAAGCCTAGAAAAAGGGTAATTTTAATAATCTGCACGTCAAAAAAACAACATCTATAAATGAGATCTACATGTTTATACCATGACTACATTTTTTTGTGTTTTTGTTTTTGTTTGTACGACAAAGTTTATATCGCCTGTCAATTGATTAAGTGATTAAGAGGTTTCTCGTCTCACTGATCATTGTTTAAGTCTTTTAACCAAAAAAAATTAAAAAAAAAGAAGAAGAAAATACAGCAGCAGTAAAAGACATTATTATGACATGCATGAATGGAAAATATATTTCCTTTCCTAATAAATTATTCAACTGGTGAGGAATGTTTTTTGAAATATTGATTTGTTTCGTTATACGTTGTATGTGAACTCATAATTTTGAGTTGAAAAAAGAATCACCACTGTTTAACCAGTGAGTACTTCAGTTCAACATTAAAACCCTTTTACTACCCTTTAAACTAAAAGCAGAGTTAATATTCACATAGATTATAGAGTCAAATATGATATACTGTAAACATTTTTCAACAATTAAAAAAAAAATGCCATATATGCGATTTACTTTAGAATTCAGCATAGCGCAGTTGAAGATAGTTCTACAATTTGATTGTATTTATTTTTTTGCATCATTAGGCTTTTATAGTTTTGTCTCATACATAGAAACAAGTGTTATATTCTTAGAACAGTCATGAAGCTGTGGTACTATAAATTTTGGTGATGATTGAAATACTTTTTGAGACTGGATCAGGTGTGAAATTTATTCCAGGCAAATTTGCCCTTTGTTACACAAGATCCTACTAAGTGACATATACAATTCTACACAAGCCATTATCTCATTTTGATTACAATTGTTCCATTAAACATTTGAGAAAATAAAAACTAAACATAGAAAACCAATTTTAATCGAGCCATTGTTATTGTGCTCGATGTAATATTTGAGATATTACCTCTTCATCAGGAACGCTAGCACAGCCAAATATGGCTTTAATAGATACATTTCCTTGAGCTAAAGTTTACCGCCGTGAGGAGTGGAAGGAAAAGACCGTATTAAATTACACTGGCAGCAAAAGATATCTTTTGGGACTAAAGTTGGGGACATTGCATAGGCTGTTGATAACAAAAGAGCTCAATGGGAATATCAAATTGTATTGCGATCATTTATTTTATTTCTCTTTCTCAACCAAGTTAGGTAAATAAGATTAACAAACCTTGGCATCCGTTTTGAAGTTTCCCAATCCATGTATGGTTGAATCCGAGATGTAGTGATAACTGTACTCATAATTCTCCTGGAAGCGTATATATTTACAATTTACGATGCCGAATAAACAAGAAACAAAAAATAAAATGGACCTACACCAGTTCATCAATTTCATCCTTGTTTGGTATTCAGTCAATCATATCTGACTAAGTGTATGTGTTAATCTACAACAAGAAAGATTATTCAATGAAAAGTAAAATAACAAAAATACCGAACCCCAAGTAAAATTCAAAAGGAAAAGTCCCTTAACAAATAGAAAAATCAAAAGCTCAAACACATCATTCTAATGGAAAACTAATGCCATATTCCTGACTTGGTGCAGGCATTTCCTTAAGTAGAAAATGGTGAATTAAATAAAGGCAACAGTAGTATACCGTTGTTCAATAGTCATAAATCGATTTAACTGAAACAAATCCAGGTCACAAACCAAAACCGAGGGAAACACATCAACTATAAGAGGAAAACAACGGAACAACAGAAACACTGAACTGCTACAAAAACAAACGCCAACATACATATAAACGGACTATTTAATAACAACTGCCCTATTCCTGACTTAGTACAGGACATTTTAAGAAAAATGGTGGGTTGAACCTGGTTTAATGGCTAGACAAACCTCCCGCTTATATGGCAATGTTAAAAAATACCGCTAAAATGACAACACTACGAGACAGGAATACAGTACAAACAAACGCAAGTACACTCAGCACAGAGAAATACATAAATAAATAATACAAAGGTACATTACAACATGTAAACCGCAGAATACCAACGGACATCTCCCATAATTTAACGACAGCACAGGTCACCACAAATTGCGCGTCACAAGAACCAATAAAACAATAAATAAGAACCAATAAAACAAGAAATAAGAACCAATAAAACAATAAATAAGTACAAAAAAGTAATAAAAAAATATCTCTGATCCGAATACTTATTTAACTATCGCCTTACATAATTCATCAAACAAATTTCCGATAAGTTTATTTAACTATAGATCCATTTTCAAAATGTTTTTCCATATTTTTTAAAATTTACAATTAGACCGTTTCATATGTCTTTTTTGTCGTGTAACAGCATTATGACTAATGGTGAATCAAGTTGCAAATAATGTTTTAAATAGCAATAGTTGAGTTTGACCCAAAAAATAAAGAATCAAAGTTTTGCTGGTGGAATAGCAATGTTTTGCTTTTTAATCTATTCTAATTTATGTCGTTAACGCGAATCCTTTAAGGCAAAATGTAAAAGTTTTTTTTTCATATTTAAACTTTTTTTTTTTTTAATGATTTATTTAATAGAATTATGGTGTTAGTTAACCTTGGTAGTCTGATTTGGAAATATATCTTTGAAACTTAAACTTAACATATTTTCAATTATTCGATGTTTTGGAGTCAGGGAACCCAGCAAGAATACGTTCTCTAGAATGCTTGATGTCTTTAAACAAGCTTGTTTCTTCAATTGATATATTTTCTTTAAGAAAATTCTTAAATGGTTCAATATTTACCAGCATTACATTTTTACTCTGTATATATTATAGTTTGTTACGATCTGATAAGGTTTTTTTATGAATGTTTTCGGTGTTTTCTTTTTTGAAACATAACATTTTGATCTAATGCATTAAACGTAAAATTGTCGACATTGGTTTTATGTTTATCATTTTAATGCAATAATAATAAAATTTCAGAAGGTTTCAAAAACTATTTGATTTTTATCCTGTTCTGGAAATAAATACAAGGAAAATGACCACACTTATTTCAAGCTTGTATCTGTAGTTTAATAGCGTATTGTATAATAGTATAAACCTGGTTTTATAGCTAGATAAACCTCTCACTTGTATGACAATCGCATAAAATTCCATTATAGAGACAACAATGTGTCAGCAAAACAAACATACATAATAGGCAAAAATGTCAAAAGAAATCAATGAATATAGTTTTACATAAAAAAAAAAGCTTTTGAATATTCATAAACAAGTATTGGTTTCAATGTACAAAAGTTAAAGAAAGTTTAATTTAACACAGGCATGAACAGAATACCTAGATTTAACCTAATATCTTTGTTAAATTACTTCCATTTCATAATCCAGAACAAACTGCCATGAAGCGAAATTTGATATGCGGAATGTTTTTCTGTACATTTGAATGTAACGGTTTTAGATATAAAGTGTTCACTGTTTTTACATGAATGTGAATCGTTGATACCTAATACCTTCCACTTAAAAGAAATGACAAGTTATCTAATTATAGATATTTTACTGAAATAATCAAGAATATAATCATGACAAAAATGATTGTGAATACAACTTATAAGATTTTTCAATTTCGCAATTATGATACACTTGTAGAATTGTGAGCATAAGTAGTTAGCATGGTCATAAATATTCAAAAACTAAAAACACAAAAACACAAAAATCACAATGCATAGTAAGAGACGCTCACCCTGCCGATGCACCCGGTTTCGCTCCTTTGAGCGTTCATGCGATTCCCCTAATTTTTGTTTTTACCCGGATTTGTATGTTCGTACTGAACTTATGAGATTGGAACATTGGTAAACTTTTGGAGCCTCTATTTTACAACTCTAGATAAAGCAGACGAGAAAATGCAAACTCGACTAACGAAAGCTACATTTGTATACAGTCTAGTAGGCTGAGAGATATAGGGCGGTGTTGCGACAATTTTTCAGAAGCATTAGTTCGAATCCCGCTGTTGGAAGCACACAAATTTGCATGACGAGCATAATCATCCTTTACGACACAAAAATACCCAGCTGATCAGTAAAATATACCATCTACATGATACAATAAAATTTGGGGTGTATAACTTCGTACGTACGCCTTTAGTAATGAATAGTTTTTTTTGAGGATTTTAAAGATAACGGACTAATGAAACAAAACAACTTGTATGAATTGAGCATTTTAAACACACAAAGGATTTTCCTATTGTATAATCTAATTAAAAAAAAAGATTAACATTTGTTGTGCCTCACTATATGTCATAATGATATCATTTCAATATTCGTACGTAATAATCATTCATTAGTTCGTTGCATACATCTTTGAACTTGTATTGTTGTTTCTTTCCCCTTTTTATGCGGTGTTGTCACTTTAAGACGATTCGATGCCTACGAAATTTGCTGGTTGGTTGTCTTATTGAAACTTATATTTATATATTAAATACAACAGAAAAAATAAGGTCTGATATGTAAAATTACTTACCCAAAACCGGTATCGAAGATACTATTTACTTACTTTACTTTAAGACTCCCGTTGATACAAGATTTTTCAAAAACATTAAAAATTTGCATTAATGTCAAAAACTGTCTTATCAGAATTTTTAACACACTGTAACATTAAAGTATAAGATATATACCTTTTCAACACAAACATATCTGAAAATCTTTACCTTGTGAGTGAAACATATATAGAAGAATTTGGTCCTACCTTATTGAATCTTCAGTTATAATTTTAACTTAGCTCACATGAATCTTTCTTTGTTAGCCTTTTTATTAAACAAATCCTTTTGTCGACAATATGAACAATATTTGTAGGAGTGTTTTTTAAATGTTACAATTGGTCAAACAGACGAGGAAGTATAGGATTCATATTTAAAGTATTCCACAGCTAAAATTTGTTAACCGTAAACGATGCAGCATTTTTTAAATTGACTGTCAATAGAAAGGTAAGGAACATTATTATAAACATAAAGATATAATTTTTAATAGGGTTCTTCATTAATACCGAGGTTAATTGGGGAAAAAAAACCTAAATTCATATATTCACTATAAGATTTAAACTAATTAAAAATTTAACAAAAACTTTAATAAAATAAGGAAAATTAAAAAGACATTGTCCACCGGGAACATACAGATACTAACTGTGTTTATATTATACTTTGGTACACATATTGTCAAAAGAATACATTCGTTTATATGGTTGATGGTTAATAGATATAAAAAAAAATCAAAAAGCAGAAAACGAATAAGGCACGAAAGGGGAAATCCTTATAAAACATTTGAAAATCTAACGACCAATGGGCAATACTTATATAATTGGACCAGATTAACTAATTAAGGGTAAAACTTTTTAAATGTTATCGAATCCTTGTCTGCAATTTATATGAATATATAAATAGTCAAATATGTAACAAATAGTCTTCTTTATTTTGTTTCATTTATCATAATTATTTCGTTTTAACTATTTCACTTCGGTTGACTTAAAGATCTATATGTTACGCTTCCCGGAGGGTTATATTAATGAGTTGGTCATTACCAATCGGAATAAAACACAATTAAATGGCTGTAATAAAACTCATGCAATATTATCTTCAAAGACAAAAATGTCGCTTAGCACCTATCTTATTGACTGATATTTGAACATTATTATAAACATAAAGATATAATTTTTAATAGGGTTCTTCATTAATACCGAGGTTAATTGGGGAAAAAAAACCTAAATTCACATAAAAAAATTCGCCAATATATGAACTATGCATGTATAGTTTTAAGAACAAGAATTAATGAAAAAAGGAAAACATTTTAAGTATGTGAATTGTACTGAAGAAGATCCATTTACTGTGTACTGAGCTGCTTACAGTTTACTCTTCAACAAATCTAATAAATCATTTCCAACACATTTAAATCTTTAATTGGAAACATCTTTTGTTTTCTTCAATGTTAAAGAAAGTTTAATTCATATATACACTATTCTTTATAAAAGTTTAAAGATTTGTACAATGATACTAATAAAAGACAGAAATATATGAACAAGATGAAATGAAATCGTATTGAAAAATATTTCGGCTCGACAAACCACCTTCTTCAGTATACATTCTTTTTCACAGTGTAATAAAACAATACGAGTTCATTATGTGTTAAAAGGGCTCACTCTGAAGTTTCACTCTGCAATCCTCCACTTCATCGCCAAAAGAAAATTCAAAACTAAGTAGACGTGAATAAGTATTTTGACATCTCAATACTGACAAGAGACCACAAATATCGCCCTTTGATTTGGGTTGTCTACGAATATATAGTCCATAGTGTGGACTGTGTATTACTTAAAAAATAATTCATTGGGACCTGAATTTATATTCGTTTTACCACGGTTTGACCTTTCATGCTAAATATTTCTTCACGAGCGATAGCGAGGGGTAAAAAGTAAAATAACAAAAATACCGAACTCCGAGGAAAATTCTAAACGGAAAGTCCCTAAGCAAATGGTAAAATCAAAAGCTCAAACACATCAAACGAATGGATAACAACTGTCATATTCCAGACTTGGTACAGGCATTTTCTTATGTAAAACATCGGCATAAAAAGCCGACCCGCGATAAAATCGATATAAATTCAAGCCCCTATGAATTATTTCTATTCTGATAGAGCAAAAACGGCAATTCGTTTGGATCGAAGCGCTCTAGGGGAAAGCAAATATTTGCTGGTCCCGTAATTGAATACACTATTAATATTGCCCTAAAAACGAAGAAAGTCAATTAGTAACATGCTTAAACGTTTCAGAATAACATACTTAGACAGGTTATGATGGCGTTAAATGATTATGAAAATATAATTATTGTGTACAGCATAATAAGAATATATAATAAATATTTGATAAGATAATGGACCACACAAATCACCAACATCTGCCTCCTGCATAAAAAAGTCATACAGATAAAACTAGATTGAACAAGAAATGGTCCAGATAACTTGACTAGGTACTGGTACAAACATTGTGATGTTAATTGTCAGTTTTAATTGCGCACAAACGTCCTCCTTATCTGTTTACTCTGTCATTAATGTTTGCAATATTAAGGTATTAGGACTAGGAATACGGTAAGTTTTTACAGAAGACAAAATTCCTAGGATACCTTATAATACGTAACAGAGAGAATGAAGATATCACTGGGATATCCGTACTCATAAGTAGAAGACAAACTGAAAACGTCATGGAAAATTTTTTAAAAAAATCGAAAAGACAAACAACAGTCTACAAAACACCACATAAGAAAACTAAACACTAAACAACATGAGCTCCACAAAAAACTTGTTAGCTAATCATGATCAACATGTGGCAATTGTCTTGTTGCTTATGTAAGTGCAAATTCGATGGGAAAAGGATCGGATTGTGTAAACGTGTCCTGCTATGTATGCATTAACCGATATGATAATAAAAACTAGCTAAACTATTACGATAGGGACAATAGGACACAACCGATAAATTGGAAGGTTTGAAGACCTTAAGGTATCTTAATGACTTTGACTTTTGTTAAGATATAATACAACAATAACCTGAACGATCCTTATCTAATGCAAAGTGAGGAGTTTACGTGAACGATCGTTATTAATACAACTATAGATTTAATTTTTCTCCTTTTGTTTTTGTGTATATCAGGTTCCAGCATATGGTTTACCTTTAATACTTTCAAAAGTTACATTGTGTTGTTGCCAGAGGTTGGATTTGCTTTGAATCGTATATAGACACGCGCGATTGGGTACTTAATCATAGACCAATTATCTTTGATAACATTTTGATGGAGGAAACCTGTATATTCCCCTGAATGACACATCTGAACATTTCACTTTCTATGTATCTAAGGTAGTTTGCAATTATTTTCGACTTTGTTACTAGATGCAATGTTTCAAATTTTCGATTACTTCACTTATTCTATGCCAATCAGTATATGGAAGGATCTGATCTTTTGTTTGTGAATATGCAGAATATTTTTTTAAGGCAAGTCACCAATATTTAATAACAAAATATGCATTTCAGCAAACATATTAAGTTATGTAGTGTAGTATAAACATTTTATAATAATCGTTTCGCGTGTCATTGATCACTTTCATAAGATCTGTTCCAAATATAATACATGTGTATAACAAATAATCTTTATGTAAACTTTTGACTTCAGTGAACCCAATAAACTTAAGATAATACAAGCCACTATAAGATTTAAACTAATTAAAAATTTAACAAAAACTTTAATAAAATAAGGAAAATTAAAAAGACATTGTCCACCGGGAACATACAGATACTAACTGTGTTTATATTATACTTTGGTACACATATTGTCAAAAGAATACATTCGTTTATATGGTTGATGGTTAATAATTAAAAATCAAAAAGCAGAAAACGAATAAGGCACGAAAGGGGAAATCCTTATAAAACATTTGAAAATCTAACGACCAATGGGCAATACTTATATAATTGGACCAGATTAACTAATTAAGGGTAAAACTTTTTAAATGTTATCGAATCCTTGTCTGCAATTTATATGAATATATAAATAGTCAAATATGTAACAAATAGTCTTCTTTATTTTGTTTCATTTATCATAATTATTTCGTTTTAACTATTTCACTTCGGTTGACTTAAAGATCTATATGTTACGCTTCCCGGAGGGTTATATTAATGAGTTGGTCATTACCAATCGGAATAAAACACAATTAAATGGCTGTAATAAAACTCATGCAATATTATCTTCAAAGACAAAAATGTCGCTTAGCACCTATCTTATTGACTGATATTTGAACAGACAGTCGGTATTCCAATAGATACTAATTGTGCGCCCCTACTCGCCGACTTATTTTGTACTCATATGAAACAGAATTCATACAGAATCTTCTCAAAGACAGAAAGACAAATCTTCTTGCTAATTTCTTTAATTTTACTTATGCTGATGATGTTCTGTCATTCAATGATAAACATTTCAGTAAGTGCTTTCATCTAATAGAGCCCAGTAAATTTAAGATTACGGATAACGAAAAGGTCTGCTTCATATTTTGATCTTTTCCTCGAAAACGACTTAAAACTTGAATTTATGACAAACGTGATGATTTCAACTTTTCAACTGTCAACTTTACTATAAAATTGAGAATGAAAATGGGGAATATGTCAAAGAGACAACAACCCGACCAAAGAGCAGACAACAGCCGAAGGCCACCAATGGGTCTTTAACGCAGCGAGAAAATCCCGCACCCGGAGGTTGTCCTCAGCTGTTGTGTTTGTAGACTGCTGTTTGTCTTTTGGTCGTTTTTCGTTTTTTTTGCCATGGCTTTGTAAGTTCGTTTTCGACTTACGAGTTTACTATTTCTTAGGCATCTTCCGCCTCTCTTTTCCCATTTCTCAGCAGTAATATACCTTCTGTTTCATCGTACGTGGTGTACATATTTCAACTAATAAGTTATGCTCGTGTATGTTCAAACTATACGGCCTTTATTAACAGGACCGTGTACCGTACACGAAAACTTCTCTAACAGAATAACGAAGGCGGACGACTGAAACCGACACTACATAAGTTTAACATTAAAGTCACCACGACGAATTGATTGACCGATACGATGTGATGTGGCTCAACTCAATGGCGTCATGTGTTTGTGGTCTTAGATCTTTAGATAACAGAATATTCGTCCAATGTTTAAATAATTGAATGTGTCCTATTCCCCATTGTGCCGGTTTTACTTCAGTGTTGATTCATATAGCGGCTGAATCATGCATAGCAGGAGACGCTTAACCTGTCTACGCACTCATCCATGTCCCCCCTTTTTTTTTTGAGTTTATGCGATTTCGTCAGTTTGTGTTTTATGCTATGATTTGTATCTGCCTAATGGATTTAGGATATTTGAAAATCGGTATTCGAAATTAACTCGTCGACAAATAGCAGTTATTCCCGCAGAAAAAAACCCTAACATGACCCGTTTATGTTTGAATTACACTTTAAATATTGATCAATTAGGAATTAGATATTGAAAATTTATTTTCGAACTGAACATACACTGCAACAATACTTATTAAGGAGTAAATCTTTAGCAATCATAGACAGAATGGGTTTTGGTTTTGTTGAAGGCCGTATCTTGATTACATTTATGTCGTTTGGTATCTAGTGGATAGTTGTCTCATTGGCAATCATAAAAAAAAACAATCTTCATTATCACATAATTATTCTCGTAAATAATATAAATTAGCATGACCTCCAAAACGTCCCACGGAAACTATTTATAAATTATTAATATCTATTTAATAAGCAATCAAATTTGAGACAACAGTACCCTACCGATGTTCAAATCTTGTAGATTGACATGCAATTGTCCTCGAAAGATTCACTAGCGAAAATACCAGCACTATCATGTTGGCATGAACTATTATTGATACGGTAATTTTCTATAATTCAGTGTTCATAAAACGTTTAAATAACCCTTAACACTCTGGTGTTCTTACCACAGGCATAGGTTTGACCATATTTTGTACAACATTTTTGGAATGTTTGGTGTTGAATGCTCTACAACTTCGAAATAATGATTATGATTTTTGAGGCCCAGTAAAAAGTCTCTATTCATATTTCATGTACTTAATCGTAAGACTTCTATCCTTTATTAGTATTTATATATGACATCACTTAGGTAACGAATAGCTTTTTATTTTAAAACTTTCAGATTTTTATCTTTATTCATCTTTGCTTTGCTTTGTTTAATTTGTAAGTCTCTTATTCTTGGTACCTGTACATTGGTAATATAGGAATTATAATAGAACGACCAAAGGTCCGATGTTCCGTAACGTAAATCAATAATCTAGAACATATCTTAAAAATATTGGTATGAATATTATCAAAGCTTATATAACACAATTACAAAATGTGAAATATAACAATATTTTTTTCGAAATAATGTAAACAAACTCCAAAGACACGCACCACTTTAAATTCTTGCCTGGTATATGTTCTTTTGAAAAGTCACCCACAAAAAGTTACTTTTCTTGTTTTTCAGTTGTAACACCAATTAAATTTCAGCTTCTTTTTTAATGTAAAGTATTACTGCATATGAAACTTAATGGGTCCGAATTTTTTAAACTTAGATAATGCAAAAAGGATTAAGTTAAATTAAATTTTCACACAAAAATCATTTCATTTTTGATCTTTTATTAGAATAGAATATTTAAAAAAATAATATTGTAAGCTTCTGTATCTCTCGGGTTATATGATGATTTTTTGATTCGAGCATCACTGATGAGTCTTTTGCAGACGAAACGCGCGTCTGGCGCAAATATAAAATTTTAATCCTGGTATCTATGATGAGTTTATTATGATACATACGGTAGTATTTTCTTACTAAAGTGAAGATCCCTTGCCACGCAGAAAATCATAAAAGTAAACGAGTCAAAATCTTTTAAAAAGCTGCTCACCAATGTAAAGTTAATCAAAGATGATAAATCTCTATCTGTCGGAAATGTAAAAGAGGGACGAAAGATACCAGAGGGACAGTCAAACTCATAGATCGAAAACAAACTGACAACGCCATGGCCAAAAATGAAAAGACAAACAAACAAATAATAGTACAGATGACACAATATAGAAAACTAAAGACTAAGCAACACGAACCCCACCAAAAACTGGGGGTGATCTCAGGTGCTCCTGAATGGTAAGCAGATCCTGCTCCACATGTGGCACCCATCGTGTAATTTATGCTATCGAATGTAACGGATGAAACAAAGATTATACCGGTATTGGCCAATAAAGGCAACAGTAGTATACCGCTGTTCGAAACTCATAAATCGATAGAGATAAAAACAAATCCGGGTTACAAACTAAAACTGAGGGAAACGCATCAAATATAAGAGGAGAACAACGACACAACAAAAACACAACATTAAAATGTAACACACACAGAAACGAACTATAATGTAACAGTGGCCATTTTTCCTGACTTGGTACAGGACATTTTAAGAAAAAAATGGTGGGTTGACAAACATTACGCAAAAGGTTTACTATTCGCCGTCAAGATATCCAACACCCAGAAACTAGGATGTTTAACGTCAGTGGACACCTGGATTTATGTGCTGCCAAAAATTTACCGAAATATATATATAGTTTCCCATTCTACCAATGTGACGACCAATTTACTGAAGAAATGAGAATAAAGAAAGAAAACGTGTTCATTAACAAGTACAAACCAAGCTTGAAGAGATTAGAAAAAAGATAAGCATCTAATATAAGGATAACTCCCCTTTTTATGTATGGTTAAGAACTATCGTGTCGTTACGTTACCATTGACTTCATTTACACTAATAAAAGGATTTTTAGTTCAATTCGAACTTAAATATTTTTTTAATTTTTACTTGTGTGGATGCAGATTTGATTTAAGTATATATATAAGCTAGTAAATATTATAAAAAAAATGAAAGGTTCGACCATTAAATAAGGATGAGCAGAAGAAGTGTGAAATAAGAATGCGTTTAGAACTCTAACTGAAAGATACATAAACAGGTCTATTTGGGATGAACTGTTAGTGAATGCATTCAGTTTTAAATAAAACATTTATTGTATTAAGAAAGATCTTACATTTCAATGTATCTTTTATGTTTCTTCGTTTGCAGATATTTACCTCACTTTGAGATTTTGCAAATCATATCATCTTTAATCTAATTTCAGATTGCCATGATAAGAGCTGTGGAAGTAATAGTCTGTTTTAATTTGTTTGTATATGTTAATGCTCAGTAAGTACAGTTTTGAAGTTTTATATGGTAGAATATTGCTTAAAAGAAGCATTTGCTAAGGAAATAAAACAATGAAATGAAAATACACTTTATAAATTTCGTGCGTCCGAAGTGCTTATCTGGATTTACCTTATTTAGGAACGGTCGAACTTGATGAAATAGAATTAGTAAAAAAATGTACAATAATCTGCGAAATAGTTTGGGATGTAATGAAATTATAAAATGAACGTATTAAAATTTCATTAATGACCAAAAACTTAGATGGGAACATTTGGTCTTTTTCTTTTTTTCCCATGGCGTTGTCAGTTATTTTCGACTTATGAATTTGAAAGTCCCTTTGGAATCGTATGCCTCTCTTGGGTGTCACATTTGTATTCGACCGAAGGAATGTAGTAATAATTTTTATCGGAAGAGAGACTACGATTAGAAATATTTATTTTTGTAAATCTGATTTGTGGAATGCAAGCTTAGAATTTATTTATTCTAAAAATGAAAAATAAAATGGTATTAATTGATTGATTGGTTAATTATTGTTTGCTAAATATCCAGTGGTTAATGTTTCATGCTTATTCGGAAACAATTGAACATAAATAAAATACGGTAGTTTTGGAAAGGAGGGCAAATATTCAAACTTCAACTGTATAGAGGGTATGCTGGATAATGGCAGAAAATTTGCCTTGCAACAGGCCACATACGGAGTTTTGACAAGGGATATTTTATATGCAGACAGCTTAACACTCTCCCTACACGTGGCATCGGATTTAATGGGCCAATTCCGGTCGTACGAGGTTTCGTTTTTATATAACACGGACAACCGGACAAACAAACCTTTCATTTCCTGCAGGATGGAATAAAACTCGTTGACCATGTTTAGATACTCCATGAAACACTGAAGATACAAAAACAGACCAGTTTACAATTGAATTTCGAATCTGAAAATATGCAAGTCAACAAAATAAACAATAAAAGAAATTGTTCTTATAATAAAATTGGATATATTGCAGTAAACTGAAAAAATATGTAAATTAGCCTGATGTTTACAGGGAGGGTTAAAAGACTAAAAGATACTTTTTTATTTGCTTTTTCTTCGATCTCATAAATCCAAAGTTATCGAAATTGATATTTGAACTTACAACTTGAATCACAAGTTATATGAATGCTAAATTCTCATCTTCGAAATTTGATTTTTATCATCATGTTCTACAAATATATTTGACGCTTTTGTTCACAGTGTTTTATCGCTTCACATTTTGGTTAGATTCTCCTAATCATATGTTATAGCTTTTGAAAATGAATGTTTTGCACTCGATGAGTAAACAGTTTTCCTCATTGATTTAACTTTATGATAAATTCGTATCGTTTCTTTTGCTACCATGTATATAAATTTAGCGACAAATTCAATTCAGTGTCATTATTCTTATAGAAAATCAAATATAAAACTTGGCTTCAATGTTTCAATGTAAAGCATAATTGTTATCAATTCAATGGAAATATAAAAAAAATATTTTAATTCCTTTCAGATCGATTTGTGGCCATTATTACTCCGTAGAATCAAGGTATAAATATAAGTGTGGATTGTGGAATGCTTTTAGATGTACCGGTACGAGGTAAGCTATACGCATCAACCTTATTATAACAATATACTTGCCTAAAAGAACAAAATATGTAATTTATTTATCAACAAAAGAAACGCACCACTTCCATTTATTTCTATGGATAAAAGTATTTAAAAATGATTGAAATAAGGCAAAAATTTACACAACGTTTTTCCATAAACACCGAATTCTGACAATACGAGAATTTTCATAATCTTATATTAATTTTTGACATCTGAAAAAACACATTTTTAAAAAATATTGCCGAATTTGTGAATACCTAAGTCGTGTGAATCTTTTGACCTGAAGACCACGAAAATGACATTCATATTTAGTTTCTTTAGCGAATTATTTTCTAATGACCAATTTGAAAAATAAATTTTCCACGACATTTGATTCTTGACATTTGTTGTTGAAATCTCCATTGTCGCTACAAAAATGAAAGTGTCTCTGTAAATTCTGCATCAATTTCAACGTTTTGCTTAGAATATACTAGATTGAGCCCCGAATATTAAATCCATTGTTTGAAGATAAAAAATGATTTAAGGGGATAAAAAGACACGTAAGAAAGTAAAAAATTAACTATTTTTGTGCAGTTTTTCTTATAAAGCGTAAACATTTACAACCAAATAGGCCAAAGAGTAGAGAATTTTATGAAATTTGGCAAATCGTCTGGATTTCTACCAAATCTAGGCGCAAGATTCGACAAACTAAATATTCAAATCAGATATGTGTAAAATATTACAACAAGCACTATGTTAAGAGATCTTTTTAGTCGACTCGTGCGCTTTGTTTCCAGTCCAAAAAATCAATGAAAATTTACCTGTATTTTTTTTTATTTTCGTGAACTATCAAAATGTGTGCTATTTGTGACGTCATGAAAAGAACACTAATACGTAAATTTTTAACAAAAAGGTATATTCCCTACCTGGTCATTTTTTTTTTATTATTATTCATTGTAATATTGGTCAATATATTCCTAATTTGAAGTTTTAGCTAGAAATAATGGCAATTTTTTGGCCTTATCGAACCTATTTCTTCGCAGCAAAAACAAGAAATTGTGAAACTACTAAATATGGTAACATGTGGTACGTTATTTGTATTGTTAATTGTATATGGTCACAATCATTAAACGTCATTTGCGAAATGAAAAGTTGAAAAGCTAAGATTGGACGAAAATGTCAAAAAACTAATATCAAAATGAAAATCTGCTACACTAGCCTCATTTTTGGACCTCGTCATTAACCTTTTCACCGCGACGTTTTTTAAAGGCAGTGGCTATTCGTCCGGCTAGCCGGACAAATAGTCAAAAATGTCTATTCGTCCGGCTAGATAGCATTTTTACGGTATTTTGCTATTTGTCCGGCTAAAATATATAATGATGAAGATATAACATCGTGTTTTTAAGGAGATAAGTAAAGGCTGAATAGTTCTGAAAAATATTGTCTAACATCGTTTTATGAAAAAGAACTCATTGAAAAACCTAGGTGATTGATTTGATCACCGATCGGACTTTTATATTGATATTTATACACTCAGCTCGTTTTAGTTCATGCTCATAACATATCATGCTAAAGTTCTGAATATAGATATAGGAAGATGTGGTATGAGTGCCAATGAGACAACTCTCCATCCAAGTTACAATTTATAAAAGTAAACCATTATAGGTCAAGGTACGGCCTTCAACACGGAGCATTGGCTCACACCGAACAGCAAGCTATAAAGGGCCCCAAAAAATTACTAGTGTAAAACCATTCAAATGGAAAAACCAACGGTCTAATCTATATAAAAACGAGAAACGAGAAACACGTATGAACTACATAAACAGACGACAACTACTGTAATCAGACATAATATGCATGTAAAAGTTACCAATGGAATTAAACATGACATACTCTATCGAAATTGGACGGCGTTACTGTCAAAAATTGGTCTTTGCAATAGCGGTAGCTTAGTGTCAAAATAAAATTACAAAGATCAACGGAATCTAAAAATGTGTCAGTATGGCAGGAAAAGAGAATAACGTTTTGTATATATCTAAATCTCGGTTGCTCGTTTATTCGTTTATCTCACAAAATATGGCTTGTGCATGCATATGCATTATTGTCGCAATTGCAAGATACAAACCAGAGTGTAATTGCACTTTCTTCAAAATATACATCTTGATTGTTATAAAATCTATGTCTTTTAGGGGAATGGGGACCTCAAATACCTCTCCCATTATATCCGCTTGTGTATTTTATGCAAATAAAGATATGGATAAACATTGAGCGCTCACAAAAATGTTTAACTTCGCCACATTCTTCATGTGCCTGTCCTAAGTCAGGAGCCTGTTGTTCAGTGGTTGTCGTTAGTTCAGGTCTGCTTCATATTTTTCAAGTCGATGCCTCATATAGCCAACCATAATGTCTGGGTTGTTCTTTTTGTTGAAGGCTGAACGGTTGCCAATAATTGCTGACATTTACTTCAGAACTTTGGTGGATAGTTGTCCCATTGGCAATCATACCACATCTCCTTATTTTCTATAAAGCTTGAAAAGAATTGAAAGCAAGTGGAGCATGACAACATGGGACACTGTCTGACTATAGGCTATAGAGAATATAAAGACGTCATGAGCTTAAAATTTAATCAGACTTGGCCACAATCACCATTGGGTATAGAGTTTTAGAAATTGTGTGCAATGACCACCCCCTTTTTCCCAACCAACATGGTCGACAAGGCTAAAAATAGAACTTCCGGGGTAAAATGCAAGTTTTTTCTATTATCTTGAAAACTGCTAAAGATAGAGAAAATCTGACAGGGGCAGGAATTTTCAAAATGTCGAGATTTCCCTACCATCTATTTACGTCAAAACTGTCAGACGAGCTTGTGTTGGAGTTTTTGCCCTTAAATGACATAATTTTTGCCTATTATTTTAATCTCTGCAATAGATAGATACTTTACAATACAAAATTCGTAAAGGGTTCCTCGGATTCTTGTTTTGAATTGTCTTGATTGCAGCTGTCAGTGTTAAAGTATAATGTTGACCTAAAAAGTGAGTCCAGTTATCAGTAAATACTAAATTGAAAAAAATCATTTTTTTTAGATGCTATTTCTTGATCTTGAAGATTAGCGTCTGTCCAAGTTTCATAACAATCTATGAAGGTGTACAAATTTATCATGTCAAAAAAATTCAATCCCAGATTGTCTGTAAATGTCACCTGTAAAAAACTAAGTCCATCTTTCAGAAAAATACTGAATTGAAAAAAATATGTTTTCAAAAGTTTGCTTCAGACATTATTTCTTAATCATAAAAAAGCTTCTGCCAAAGTTTTACAAAATTGTATGAAGGTTTGCCAAAGTAATTGATGTGTAACAAATTTTTACCCCAGACTGTAACTACTTGTTAACTGTAAAAAGATCTATGACCATTTATCAGTAAAATACGTCAAATGAAAATAAATATTTAATTAATGAAGATTTTTTACAATTTTTTTGCATTTTTGCCATAAATCTTAAAAACTAAAATATATAGATAGAAACTTTAAAAAACAAGAAAAAATAGATTTACAATTATTTCGTAGAAAGAAACAGTTAAATACATGAGATGAGTTTAATTTTGACGAGTTAACTCTAGTAAAAATATGACAGCACAAATTATTTTAGAAGCCTGTTTTTATAATTAGATTTCTTTGTAATATCCCCTTGGTTATATAAAAATCAATGTTATGGTGACTGTAATTTGTTAGCTATCTACACCTTGTTAGATTATTGCTCTTTAAAAAAAACGCTTTAAAACAATATGGATATACAGATTGATTTTTTAAATTTTTTCAGAAATTGCAAATGTTGACATTTTTCAACAGAATCATAGAAAAATATCACAATCAGTTTTTTTTGGTCTAAACATTCACTTATTACACCTTGGTATGCTTTGTTTTATATTTTACTTTATGAAAAGAAAAGAAATATCGAAACACTTATAATGTATCAAGAGCAGAATGCTTAATTTGAAGAAACTAGAGGCTCTCAAGAGCCTGTGTCACTTACCTTACTCTACTTTGGTTTTAGATATCATGTAAAGATAGATAAAAATCATAACAGATACCCAAATAATGATTGAGGGCAAATTTGGTTTAATATTGGTCCCGTTATTTAATAAAATATCCTGGTGGCCATCTTGAACAGTAAATTAGCAACAAAGAAGCAACACTTGGTCAGCACCTCATAAGGAACATTCATGCCATGTTTGGTTTCATTCCATTCAGTGGTACTCTAAAATAAGACATTTGTATGTATTTCCAATAGGGTCCTATGTTAAACTAAGTCCCCCGCTGGCGGTAATTTTGGATGATGGATCGCCTGCAAAGAAACAACACTTGATCAGCACCTCATAAGGAACATTCATGCCATGTTTGGTTTCATTCCATTCAGTTGTTCTCTAAAAGAAGACATTTGTATGTATTTCCCATAGGGTCCTATGTTAAACTAAGTCATCCGCCGGCGGCCATCTTGGATGATGGATCAGCTGCAAAGTAACAACATTTGGTCAACACCTAATAAGGAACATTCATGCTATATTTTGTTTCATTCCATTCAGTTGTTCTCTAAAAGAAGACATTTGTATGTATTTCCCATAGGGTCCTATGTTAAACTAAGTCCCCCGCTGGCGGCAATCTTGGGTGATGGATCGCCTGCAAAGAAACACCACTTGGTCAGCACCTCATAAGGAACATTCATGCCATGTTTGGTTTCATTCCATTCAGTTGTTCTCTAAAAGAAGACATTTGTATGTATTTCCCATAGGGTCCTATGTTATACTAAGTCAACCACATGAGGCCATCTTGGATGATGGATCGGCTGCAAAGTAACAACACTTGGTCAGCACCTCATAAGGAACATTCATGCCATGTTTGGTTACATTCCATTCAGTGGTTCTCTAAAAGAAGACATTTGTATGTATTTCCCATAGGGTCCTATGTTAAACTAAGTCATCCGCTGGCGGTCATCTTGGATGATGGACCGACTTTAAA